GATAGATAGATAGATAGAGAGATCGAAAGGTACATGGACACATAGACATATGGACAGAAAGGCGCAGAAATACATAGACGCATACATCGATAAATGGTGCGTAGGTGCATGGGTACACAGATACATAGGTACATACATACACACATACCTACATACATACATGATCATTACAACATGTGTGCATGCATGCTCTGCAAATGGAGAGGAAGATAAAGAGCCAGAATGACACTCACAAAGGTCCGTGAGCTGATACATTGATATAGATGGGGCATGCTTTCTCGTGATGGACTACCTCAACCAAGCTTTAACCCGAAACTGAAAGGCCCGTATCCTTCTGTCTTGGCATGTCTTTTCCGCCTCGAGCTTCAGGTGCTTGAGTCCACCCGGACAGGAGAACCTGGGTGTGCTAACGTGCTTGAAGTGAAGTTCAAGGTGGAAGGTCGCGTCTAGTTCAGGGCACTGGGACTCTCAAACTTGGAGTCATAGACGCGCTCATCCAAAGCATCCAAGAGACTGGATCATCGCGCGTCGAGCGTACCAAAGCACCCGGGAGTCTCTCAACATGGCCTCCATCAGAACCAGCATTCCCCAACATCAGCTTTCAACATCAGTTTGGTGGTTTGGCCCAGGTGGCAACACAACTGCCCGTCTGGTATGACTCATTGCTGTTGCTGCTAGTTGGGCTTCCAAGCTCAGTGTAGTCGGGAAGCGCAAAGTTCGAGGGCTCAAGCCTTGTGGAACCCAGGTTCTTCGGGGTCTCTCTTTTGTTGGGCATGTTCTCGGATCCCATAAAACGGGCGGGAGTCTCGCAGATTCCGAGAGATTCGGGTCCCATCCGATCGGGTTCAGTGCTACCTCATTGGGGGGTCTCTTGAGGTCGGGAGTCGAAGAGAGAAGAGCTTCTCAGGGGAAGCCCGTCTTTGGCGTTTTGGGGCGTTGGACTTCAGCGTTGCAGGGCTTAAGGAATTAAGGGCTAAGGGTTGTTTCAGGTTTTGGGGCTTGGCCTGCACCAGCTCGTTTGGCTGCGTGGAATGAGTGATGAGCAAGCTGCCTGAGGCACTTCTTTGCGGAAGTCTAAGCTGTAACGGCTCGAGCGTAAGATGCAGGCTCTAAGGGTGACTAAGTGTCCGTCCGGGGATGATGCCTACAGCTGATGCAACAATACAGAATGTAAGACTATGGAGAGAAGCCAGGTGCAGATCGCTGTGAGTTTACGGCTTACGGCATTGCGACCGTTTCGCGGCTGCTGCCAACCTATCGAAATGTGTGATGACAAAGAACCTACCTAGAATTATGCTATGGAAACTAATGGTTCGACATGCGTCCTCTGACTCAATCTCGTGATATGAACCAGTGATCTGGCCAAGAAGCCCAGGTGATGTCCTGGCGTAGCGGAAACAGCAGGGAGGCTGATAGCACAAATCCATCTTCGCGAGACCAGAAGATTTCGAGGGGCGCGGGTTCTCTGTACAGGTGTCTCTTTGGCCAGGAAGCTGAGCTCGAGAGCAAGGATATCCAAAAGAGATCCTTTGAGGGCTTCGGAAAGTCCAAAACCTGACTCACATCTTTTCCTTGTGAGATCCTCTTCGGCCCAGCAAACAAACAAATTTCCTACAAAAACACAGCGTCAGGGTCCTATTGCGTTTGCAATCAGCACGATTGTTAGGCCACCCCCGATGACCATACCGCATTCCAGAAGCTTCGCAACCTGAGCGCTTTTGGGCTTCAGGGTTCAAGGTTCAAAATTTGGATTTCAAGTCTCGCATCTCAAGTTTTAGGATTGGGGAAGCTTTGGGGCTTAGTCTTCAAGCTTTCAGGATTCAGCCACATGTATTGCTTCATGTGTGGTAAGAACCAAACCTAGAAGGCTCTCAGGTGTGGGCATCGTTGCTTTTAGTCCTCCCGCCGCTCACGGCGAGCGCTTCATGCCGTCCCACACGTTTCGAGCCCCAAGGGGCTCGCCATGTTCCCCAAGCCTGAACCCTGAAACCTGGCCAGAGACCATCTACCCCGACATTTTCTTCGCCTGTTCGGGACTTACATACTGCTTACTTCTTGCTTCGCACTTGTAACGTGTTGATCATTGCTTCTTACTTCTCGTTTCTTCCTTGTCTCTCCACTCTGTGCTCTTGGCTCTTAGCTCTTAATACATACTACCACCACGTGCCACAACAACAAAGACGACAACAACAACGACAACGACAACAACAACAACAGCAGCAGCAACAACAGCAACAGCAACAACCACCACCACCACCCCACCACCACCACCACCACCACCACCACCACCACTACCACTACGACGACAACTACATACAGCTACGACGTCGGCTACTACTGCTTCTACCACTGCACTACTATCAGCAGCAGCATCGCGGCCATCGGCAGTAGCATCATTCAACAGCGATGAAGTCTCCGCCGAGATGCCGCAGAGCCCTCCGCCCAGCTGTAGCACACGTACAGGCAAGCCTCGGGAAGCGCGCGATCACTCAACACGTCCAGCCGACAGTGCCAAGACTCTGAAGGCTTGGGGCTTTGGATCAGGGGTCTTGCGACTTGCGATTACGGTTCTCAGGTCCAAAATGCCCTGCATTTTCCCAGGCCTGCACAGCGCTGGAATGTCTTCCAAAAGTTCAAGATAAGGCGCAAGAGCGGAATATTACCAACTTGTTGAACTCATGAAAAGTCAGGGCGCCGTCATGTAATCTTTGGCAAAGAGAATGCGCCGATTCCAGGGCCAGCCGTCGGCGCCAAGGTAAGCCGGTGCAAATTCTAGGCATTCAGCTGTTTCTCAGGGCTTCGAGACGTAAAAATCCATACAGATGTGTATGTGTGAGTGCATATATATATATGTATGTATATATATACACACACTGTGTTTGGGGGACGGTGTGCCCTTTGCAGGTGCTTTGCCAGGGGATTGGGTTGCAAGGGTTTGCGGCTATCTAAAATCTTCGGGTTTAAGGTGACGTTTCAGTGACAAGACCCGAGTTCAGAACAACCACATGCGAAAGAACCATAGATGTGCCAATCTACACGGTGGCTTGCGGCGTTTGGCATAGAGCTTCAGAGTTGGGCTTACCCGGGTTACCCGTGATGCAAAGAACGTATTCAGGACCGCTGCAAAGAATCCTGCTTTAGAACAACCTCGGCAGGAATATACAGAAGATGCATCACCCTGTCTGACACAGCAAAATACTTCCAAACTTGTTTCGGGGGGCTCCAGAGTGTCACAGTGTCGGAGTCGGAGGGGCACATGGCTTCAGAGGCAACACAAGTTCGTAAATCCCTAAGCCCAACAACCGAAGCTTTAACTACAAGCTTTGACTTGAAACTTCAAAACTCAAAGCTGAAACGATTGGCTTGAACGCCCCAAGAGGCTAGGCCAACCCCCCCGAAACCTGCAAGAGAGAACGACGCTAGGCGGCCGAAAGGTTGTGGGCGGCTGCTGTTCGTGCCGCTGACATTCAGCAGCGACTTTACGGTGAAATCCTTCTGTCGCTCAGGGCACGGAAAGCATGCTAGGTAGGCTTGGTTTAGAAAGTCTGGCCATGATTGACCATCACAGCAGCCTCAACATTGCTATGATGTGGGGTGTTCTCGGGTTTTTTGAGTGGCTGCCCGAAGCTGTTGTAAGCGAAGTATCTCTGGCTACAGCGCCGCCCGACCCCAGAGCGCGTACCCGCCCTATTCCTGCGACATTAGTCAAGTCTTCCTTTCCCTAGGTTGTTGATGCTGTCACTACATGCTGCTGTTGTTTCGATTGCAGCGTCACGTCTACGAGACAGCTCCCCACTAACGAATACCATTCGGAGATGAGCCTTTTGGGAACTGCTGGGAGACCTCTCCCAGGCCATTAGTTAAGCCTTAGAGTTCACGCCTTCAATTTAACTTCTGTTTAGCTTATCGCGTCCAAGACCTGCTATCTTTGAATGTTGTGACTTGTGGAGCTTCAATAGCAGTTGTCCTACAACTACAGCCCTCTTAGCCGCAGCACGAATCAGAAATTCCAAGTACAGCATGTAGGAAACACAGACACCGCCGAGGCGCATCGGTGGGGAGGTTCAGTGCAAATGAAGCTACCGTCGCCTTGGCATAATAGCCTCAAAGCTGGCAAGGGAGGCGAGGGGGGGGGGGAGGGTGAGGCGTGTGGGACTTGCAAAGGCGGGCTGTCCGCAGTGTTAATTAAAGTTCGAGCTGAGCAGCATGAAGACAACTGCGAAGGGGGTATCCTGCGCATGTGCTCACCTGCAGCGGATTTGAAGCCTTCCGGCCGCAGGTTCGGAGTGATTGAAACGCCCGAAGTCCGAGATCCTGAAGCAACCTCTGGCTGATTCCATCGTATTGCACCTGGAAATCAGCAAGTACTCGTGACACTGGACAACCGGCTACTAAGAGACATGACCATGCCAATAAACAGCAATAGCAACAACGACGCAACTAGCAGCCACCACAACAACAACAACAACAGCAGCAGCAGCAGCAACAGCAACAGCAACAGCAACAGCAACAACAACAACAACAGCACCAGCCTCAACAGCGAAGGTGGCTGAAACGAGGACGACGACGAAGACAAGGAGCAGGTGGCAGGAGGCGTATGAGGAGGCGGAGGAGGAGGATGGAGAGGAGGAGCAACCACAACCGACAACCCACAACCAACAACCCATAACAAACAAACAACAAACTACTCCTCCTCCTCCTCCTCCTCCTACTACTACTACTACTACTACTACTACTACTACCACTACTACTACTACTACAGCAACAGCAGCAGCTGCAGGAGCAGCAACAGGCACAGCAAGACAGCGACAGCAACAGCAACCGCAACAGTGACAGTGACATGAAACAACAGCAGCAACAATAGCAACCACACCCACAACCAGCACCCACAAACACAACCACCACGGCCAACACCACCAACCACCACGGCCACCACCACCACCGCCGCCACCACCACCGCCACCACCACCGCCACCACCACCGCCACCACCCGCACCAACAACAGCAACAACCACAACTGCAAGGCTAGAGCGGCTAGATTCTACCGAAACCGTGCAAATCGGTAGCCTGGATCTACAACCTCCAACAGGAAGGAGGGGGCTTCGAAGTTAGGATCATATTTCGACTTGAGGCTTGAGTTGCGGGCTTTAGGGTTTTACGGGTGTGGGAATCTGCATGGGAAGTTTGGGGTAGGGGCGTCTCAGGGTTGAGTGATGGGATCCGTCTTCGCGCTGAAGGACCCCAGAAGGCATCCAGGTAGGAGAGCACGCTTCGATCGGACTTGGTGTAGTAGCTGATCCTTACGCAACGAAACCCCTGCATTCCTCTGACTCTCTGCGTCTCTCTCTCTCTCTCTCTGTCTCTCCCTCTCCGTCTCTCTCTCCATCGCAAGTGCGAAAAGCCGCTGCCAGATGGTAGCTCTTACGATCCCCAGACTCCCCGCCGAGGCACTGTGCATGCTCCAGTGTCTCCTGGCCACTCCTTCGGGTTGTGCCGGGAGTTTTTTGTGTCTCAGCGTATAGGGCTCCAGGTTGAGCTATCGTCAACAGAGTCTTAACACAGTGCTT